TTTTGTTATAACAGACATATATATGTGTTATGAAAGAGAAGTTGTACAGTACTACATAGCGGAAATGCAAATAAGTGGAATTGGTTTTGATATGGTTAAGTATACTCTTATTATAGAAATATCATGACATTTACAAGTATTCTTATTTTCTTGCATCTCTGTCCAGGAGGAGGAGGAGGAAGAAGAGCTTGTGGTAGGTAAACTTTATTATAATGACAATGGGGAAAGATTAATCCTTTGAGAGCAGCAGACTTCTTAAACCCTAGTCTATAAAATGTCCTATTTGTATTTAGAAAACCAGGGAAAGGTACAAAAGGCTGGGAGTAGGGAAGTACAGGCATGCCTTGTTTTATTGAGATTTGCTTTATTGCGTCTCACAGATAATGTTCTGTGCAGCTGCAGGCAGCCTGACCACTTCCGGGGGAAGGAAGCCCCCTGATGACCTTCAGGCCACAGGAGTGGAGCTAGCTAGGGCTGGAACTGAGGTTTCCCCCCTCCTGCTCCTGCAGTCGGGGGGGGCATGGCTTAATAGGCTGCAGTATAGTGGAAACATAACTTTTATATACACTTGGGGGAAAAATGGTTTTGTGTGACTCACTTTATTGTGATATTTGCTTTTATTGTGGTGGTCTGGAACTGAACCTGCACTATCTCCAAGGTATGCCTGTACTTTGGTTCAGAACTGAAAGTGCATGAGTAGCTTTAATACATAGCTACTTTGCTGTAGAAAGGTTATTTGCATCACATTTTGCCATACAGAAAGTGCCATTCACATCCTGTCTGTCTTCAGGATAATAATGTTTAATAAGTGATACTTATATTGACAACTTAAATAGTTTTGAATATCTCTGGAGTCCCACAACAGTAGCTTGCTTGCTTTCCCAACAGTATATAACTTTCACCTAGGCACTGATAAGTCATAAAATGATAAATCAATAACCAAATTGTGTTTGTCAAGTGTGATACAAGTGCTGTTTCTTCTCCATATCTATTTTGAACCTTTTATATATTGAGATGTGGTGTAGTACATAGGCTTTTCCTACTTCCAAATACTGCAGTTAAGGAGGATATTTTTCAAACACCCACAACTTGGTTTTGTATGTAACTTAACCATAACATTTTCCCCACAATCTAATGCAAGAATGAAAGCCATCTGGATTAGAATCCATATACAGGTTCTGCACCTCATTTAAGTTAGGCTTGGTTCACATGCTCCTTATTTATAATCCTGTTTTGGCTCTTGGTTCTACCTTAGAAAAATGATTGTAATTTACCTGACTGTAACACTAAAGTTGGAAGTGTAGAGGTAGAATATTTTGACAACAGGACTGGCATTTTAGATCTCATCATTTGTATGCTTGTCATTATCATCTATCCAGGACAAGTTATAGCAAGCTTTTATATTCTAGCTTGTGGTGGTAAAGTTGAACCTCTCTCTTAGCAATCGCTCATTAACTGTGCCTATTTTATATCTTCCTTTTTGTCCAGGATCCTTTAACTACTCTAAGGGAGCATTGTGAACAGATTGAGAAATGTGTGAAAGCTCGGGAACGTTTAGAGGAGTGTAATGCTCGAGTGTCATCCAAGTCCCATACAGAGGAGAAGTGTACAGAGGAACTCTTTGACTTCTTGCACGCTAGAGACCATTGTGTAAGTTTGTCTCAGAGTAATTTCTAAGTGTGAACAGTATTTTGTGGCCAAATACCTTATTTCTCCAGTGTTGAGCCACAGACACTTTATTGAAAGTCAATATAGATTGAATAACTGAATCGAGGTACTATTTTGACATTTATCTTGTGGGTGTGGAATTACACTGTCAGCTTTATAAATTAGTTTTTTTAGAAGTATTATTATTGATTTCATTTCTACACAGCTTTATATTTTAAAGGAAAAATCTCAAAAGCGGATTACACCGCATTAAAACATCAAATAAAACAATCCAGAATAAAACATTACTGAAGAAGGTCAAATATAAAGTATACATTCAAAGCAACATTACTAAGAGAAAACTAAGATGATATTTTTTTAATATTCTTTATTAAAAAATATAAAGAATTATAAGACAAAAGAAAAACTAGAAAAAAGAAAACATAAACTTACAAGATTTTTATACAATATCCTAAAATAGTATCTTAAAAAATTCAAAATAAAACATTACAAAGGAGTGTTGCGTAATAACGATGCAGAGGTTTGTAAAATATTGGCTTGTTGCTTCTAGAGTACATTTTTCTGTAACCAGCTTTCTTGATTGTAAGTAGGCAAGAATATATTGTGCAAGAATGCAGTTGGTTCCCAGAGGGAGCAAAACAGTAGCCCTCCTCAGGTGTGAATAAAACATGTGCTAGCTTTGCCCTCCATTCCATTTGATTGCCTGTGGGAGTTGAAAGATAAATTCCTGAAGTGTGGAGCCTTCTGCACTGTGTGCATTTAGAACACTGGTTTTCCATGGTTCTGAAATGTGTGTGGAGACTCGACAAGCACAGGAGGCTCCCTGTTTCAAAAGTTCACCCTCCCCAAATCGGTGGGAGATGGGAAAAGTTAAGGGACAGAGCTAGTACACTCATTCCAGCTTCCCCCATCACATATTTCTCTTGGGTATAATGCCTAAAGAAGGCTATTAGGACTAATGTGTGTGTTGCTAAAGAAGCTCCTGTTAATTCAATTTGTTCATCTTTTGGTTTTTTCAGGTGGCTCATAAACTCTTCAGCAAATTGAAATAAATGTTAATATAAGCCTGTGTCGTCCTCATGCATAGCTGATGAAAACCTGAGTGTTCAGTTTGAGTAAACATGCAGCTCTGCACGTGTGATATGAAAGTGAATTGTGGTAATTCTGGGAGAATTTACGAGTTGCCATCAGGATACATCTGTTATGTAGAAGATTTGTGGCTGCTTAACAAAGTGTTTCTGTAGACTTCTGATATTAAAGATATTTCCTGTCAAATGTGAAAATGTTTGCTTGTTATGACAGCCAAGACATCTTAGCATGCTCTGAAGTTAAACATAAAAAATTAGGCAATTTAGTAATGCAAAGGATCCATTTTTTCATGACATTGAAAACTTTTAATTGCATATAGATCTTCAGAAAACAGCAACTAATATCCTTAATAGTAACTGTGAGGGAGAAACCAAAGAGGTCAGAATACATATATGTATAGGTGAAATAAATATTGGAAAGGATGTAGGTGGTTAGGCAGGTTGTGTGGGGGGACAGTATGAGGTTTTAGGGTCCTAAACAATATAGTCCTGTGTGTGCTGCTGGCTACCTCCTCTTTCCACAATGCCCATTGCTTTCTTTCAATAATATGCATCTTCCTATTTTATAGTAAGCGTGGGAGGTAGAATCCAAAATTTAGAAGAGATTACAGATTAGAAGAGATCATGTAGATATGTTTACATAATAATAATATGTGTGGAACCTTTCTTAGTGAGATATATTTTAAAATGGCATTCTGTCTACATTGTCACACATGTAACCTGGAAGCTTGTATGTAATCTTTCCCATGCTACACATGGTGCCTATGTGGTGTCTATCCCAGCTGTATTTGCAGCTGTCTAGCAGCTGTGTTTGCCTGTAAAGCTGGAGACATTCCTATACCAACATCAAGCTTACATTGAATGAATCCTAGGAAGGAAAGAACTCCCCACTGTGGAAGATGGATGCAGAATCAAATCAGTTGAGTTCCTACACTAGCTGCTTTTATTTCAAACAATTCTGGTGACCATGGTTCCAAGTTTGCAACATGTTCAGCCAAGCTACTAAGGCTTATTTTGTCGTTTTGTACCATGGGGGCCCATTTTCCTTTCTTAACATCAGAGCTACAGTCTCATCAGTGTCAGGCCTTTTCTTACGATCTGGTCAGGTTTCAGCCGTATCTGAAGTAAGAGCACCTCTGAAGAGTCCTTGGCAACGCCACACGGACCTCTGGAATGACAGGAGTGTGTGAGGGGAGGGAAGCTGATCAGAAGCCAGTTTAACAACCTAGTGTCTGCCTGACCTGCAGACATCTTGACACAAACTGGGAGAAACTTCAACCACTAATCTTTTGAATGTCAGACAACTGCTAAAAAGGATAGGTGTCCTAATTTGAGGTAACAATATCCTACGGAAAACCTCTAGGGTAGATTTCCACTTTGAGGACACACATTCCTGAGGGTGTGATTGTTTCATGTGAGAGACCAGTGAATTACCTTTTAATGGCAGATATACAATGGTACCTCTGGTTACAAACGCTTCATGTTACGAGCTCTGTTAACCCGGAAGTAGCTGCTCCTGGTTGCGAACTTTGCCCCAGGATGCGAACAGAAATCCTGTGCCTCCAGTGGGAGGCCCCATTAATAAAGCACGCCTCGGGATAAGAACGGTTTCAGCTTAAGAACAGAACTCTGGAACGAATTAAGTTCATAACCAGAGGTACCACTGTACTTTAGGACATTCTTCCTCAACATTGGGTCCCCTCCAGATGGACTACATCCATCAGCCCTGGCTACTCAAGGACATACCTCACCAGGGTGGCTTGCAGGGACTTTTAAAATCACACAGTAGGAGTTTGCTTTAAACTAAGGAAGAGTTGTTAAATGTCATAAACAAACTTGGGTTACCTTACATATCAATTCAGCACTGAAAATGTCAATTCAGCTGATGAGCCAACATTCCATGTTTGTGACTGCTATATTATGGGCACTATACACATCGCACACAACTTCATGGTGTAGCCCCACAGTACTAGCAAGCTGAAATTGGGAAGAAAAAAACGAGCTCCTTATTTGGTTTTCACATAATTGAAGAGCAGATGCAGACCCATGTGGTATGTCAGAAATGGAAAACTTGCGTCTTTAGGCTCTGTCACCCTAAACTTGCTGGACCAAGGACACCTGGCTGGTGCCTACCAGATGTTTAGGCCTACAACTCCCATCATCCTCTGCCCTTGGCCATGGTGCTTGGGCTGCTGGGAGTTGCAGTGAAAGGCACCTCGCCGGCTGCCCCTGCTGCAGACCTAGACCACCGATCGCGCGTGCTGGACCAGAAGGCCTGGACCACAGGTTCCCCATGCCTGTGCTAGAGGTAGCAGGACGTTGTAACCTGTGCCCGAAACGACCTGCTTGGAATGAAACCTCCGGCGGCACGCGTCTCGGCAAGAGCGAATTCTCCGATACCTTTCGCGGTACATGCCTGGCGCAAATGCATGAGACTCCGGCAACCCGGCGTCCACCGGAAAAGATGCCCACCCCGCCCCGACGCTTGGCAGAAGAGGAGGAGGAGCTTCTGCGTCGGCCGGCGGGCTGTCCTCATTGGCGCTGGAGCCGAGCGATGGCGGCTGCACGCACTGCAAGCGGGAAGGGGCTGCTGCTGCAGCTGCTGCGGAAAGAGGCGGCTTTGCCGACGGTCCCGTCCTTCGCCTTCGTTCCCTGTCGGCACCGACACGCGCAGAAGAAGAAATGGGTGAGGCGCGAGGGACGCGGACCCCGACCCACAGCTCCTGCGGCGCCCTCCCGTGCCCAGCCCAGTGAAGCCCCAAAGGACACCCTGCCCCGTGCCCTTCAGCGGGTCCCCGCTGCGTTGCTTCCTCCGCCCCCCGGGTTTTTATTACCCACCCCGATCTCCGTCCAGTCCTCGGCACTTTGTCCCGGCTCTGAAATCCGGCCTCTCTCTCCCGCCTCGCTTGCCGTGGCCTCCGTTACGTGAAATTAAGTTAGCGTGTTTGCCTGGCCCTTTTAGAGAAGGCTTCTTGGTAGGAGCCCATTCTCTAGATCAGGGTTTCCCAAACTTAGCACTGCAGCTGGTGTAGGACTACAACTCCCATCATCCCTAGCTAGCAGGGCCAGTGGTCTAGGATGATGGGAATTGTAGTCCAAAACCCAAGTTTGGGAAACCCTGCTCTAGATAGGGATGTTGCACTCCAGCTGCCATTGGCCCCCAGCCTGCATTGTTCCTTGAGTTGTAGTTTTCCTTCTTTTGTTGTGACAAACAGCTTCGAGGCTGTTGCAAAATATGGCATTTCACCTGAACAAATAGCTTAGTTTGTATGAGTTACTTTCAGGTGCAGAATATGGACCTCCTGATGGTAGAACGCACATAGAGTGTGTGTGCCCATAAGAAGGGAGCTGTTCCCTGCTGGTGCTATCTCACGGGGATGTGGGTGGAGGACGTTGTGTGGGTCCGTCCCTGATGTCAGGATGGGTAGGAAATGCCAGCGACATTGGCCCTGGTCTTTGATTTCACTATGCAGTCATACATCCAAGCACTGTAGGGCCACATCATGGTAAAGAGGTGTGTGGTGCATGTAATGCCCAAACATTATCAGCACTAATATTTTACCTGTTGCACATTTTCATCCATGTAAAGGCATCCACCACTCCTCGTGTGCCTTGCACCAGACGGGCTCTGCGGGTCTTCGACATGACCTATGGTGTGCAGTTTGGCAGCCTCTGGCCCTCGATCCGCATCGGTCTTCTCTCAGAGCAAAAATATGGAGCTCTTATCAACAATTACTGTGATGCACAGAAGGTCACCCAGGAACTGGAAGAAATGCAGGCAGCAGATTTCATCTGGGAATCTGGAAAAGTAGAGCAGGACCTGGATCCTGCAGCTGAGCAAGGTGCCAGTGAGCCTGAATCATCCTCAGAAACTCAGACTGAACCCTCTGAGCTCCAAGCGCAACCTCCTCATTCTCCTTTCATATCCATCAGTCCCAACATAAAATGTTACACGTTCCCCAAAGGAGATATCAGCCTTTTTCATCCAGCCAGGTTTGTAGCTGATTTTGGGTGAGGAGGTGGGTTTTGGGGTGCTCTTCAGCATTTGTAAGATGAAAATAATTGCATTGGGCAGAATCCAACTTAGCCCATGGATTTCTTCTTGTACATTGAAATATTCTCCTCCCCACCCCCCTAAATCTGTTCTGGGGTTCTCACAATCCTCCGGAGTAGATTTGGGGAAGCGTCAGGACAGGACACACACAGAGGGGTGGGGATGGGGAGTTCTGTTACACAAGTGGAACTCCTTATTCTGATGGGCAGCAGTAGTTGAACACTGCCCATTACTTGCAAACTTCTAAAATACCTGATTGCTGCCAATGACAACAAATGGATCTTTTGCCTCTCTTTCAGTTGTTAAGGTACTTAGTTCTTGCTTCACTTAGTAAAGCTGAGTGTAGGAACCCCACCATGCAGGGGTACATGAGCGTGAATGTTATATGCCTTATACTGAGTCAGACGTTGGTCCATATATCTCAGTATTGCCTACACTGATTGGCAGCAGCTCTCCATCATTTGTCTTTCCCAGCTCTACCTAGAGATTCAAGCTGGAACTATTTGCATGCAGAACGTATGCTCCACAGTTGAGCTGCAGACCTTCCATACTGCCAGTGCATGTTAAGTAGGAATTAATTGAGGCTCAAATTTCCTGTGCCTGCCATGCTAAACTTCATCTGTTCCCTTTTTTCATAGACCAGACATGATAGGAGTTCTGGGCTATTATCTTCTGGATGCTGCATCCATCTTGCCCGTCTTGGCTCTCAATGTGCAGCCTGGCAACCTGGTCCTTGACCTTTGCGCAGCACCAGGTGGAAAGATGCTGGCCCTTCTACAGACTGGATGTTGTCGTAAGTAGAATTCTTCTGCAGCAGGTGGTGCTCAAATGGTGTAGGCAGGACAAGTTAGTGAAAACTGTTTTTCCTATATCTGTCCGGAAAGAGTTGAAAGGATCAGATAGTCTCGTATGATGCATCATGTTTGCTTCTGCTTGTGGTGCAGTGCAATTTTGATTACACAGGTTACTCTCCAGAAGGCCATCTTAGGGAAGGTAGCAGGACATTTTCTCCGGCCTCTTCCAGCTCCAACAACTCCTTCTCTCTTTGTAGAGCAGGGGTGGCCAGAGCGCCACATTCACCCTTGGCCAACTCTCCAGGCCTCACATGACAAGAGAGGGTGTGACCCACACTCTTGTGCACGCACACTGAGAGCACACACATATTCAAGGCACACACTATCCATGCCCACCCAGCACTGTGTCTGCATTAAACATAAAAGATAATTTCCTATTATATGTCAACATGGGATGACTCTCTCATTCCCCCAGCATCCTAAATGTCTATCTGGTGGCAGAGTATGGCAAGTTTTTAATTCTGACAAAAATATATATATACTTTTTTGGTGTGTGTGTGTGTACACATACGCACATTCATACACTGCCAAAACTGATGGGGTCTTCTTTTAAGAAAGTTGGCAACATATTCATCATTTCTCAGTCATGTGCAAATTTTGGTTTGTTGACTTGGAGCCTCCAAGAGTCTGTCTGCCCTTGGTGTATGCTGTTGCTGTTCTTTCATTAGGACAGCTGGCTGCCAATGACCTCTCTGTTTCCCGCACTCGTCGGCTGCGTCAAATTCTCCATAGCTACCTTCCAGAAGAGCTCAGCAAGATAGTGAGGATTACATCATGGGATGGAAGGAAGTGGGGTGACCTGGAGATGAATACTTACGATAGGGTAAGCATTGCTGTAGATAACGTTACTGGGAGTAGCCCATTAGAAGAGCGCCAGCAGGTGCCTGCAGCTACTGAACATATGATCTCTGCCATTCCCCCCTCACTTGTACAGAGCGCAGATTGCTCCTTTAGAATATATTTGCATCTTGCGGGGGGCGGATCGTGACAGTGGATGATACTGAACTTAGTCATATTGAGAGTGGACCCCCTGAAATCAATGGACTCGGAGTTAATACTTTGTTGAATATTATCTGGTTTGTCTATAGCCAAGACCTGTGCTTTCTGCCACATCTGATAACTCCTTTACTGGTAATGTATGTAACTTTGGTTCAGAGAGTCCAGCTGAAGTCCATTTCTATTGTAAACACTCAACTATTAAAAAATAATAATTCCCAAGCCTTTTCCTTGATGTAGGAAAATAATAATTTTAGTTATCAGAATGTGTAGGTACTTTGAACGTCATCTACCTATTTTTACTTCCTATCTTTCCTCTTAAGGCAGGCATGGCCAAGCTTGGCCCTCCAGCTGTTTTGGGACTACAATTCCCATCATCCCTGACCACTGGTCCTGTTAGCTAGGGATGATGGGAGTTGTAGTCCCAAAACAGTTGGAGGGCCAAGTTGGGCCATGCCTGCTCTAAGGAGTTCAAGGTGGTGTATATGGTTTCTCCTCACAACCCTGTGAGGGTAGACAGCAAGATGGTGACTAGAGCCTAAACTTGCCCAGGCAGCTTCATGATTGAGTGTGGATTTGAACCTGGGTTTCCTTTGGTTTTAGTCCAGCACTCTAACCTCTACACCACAATGGCTGTATGAGTATTACATGCAAGAGGCTTAAGAACAGTTGCAGTTGTGAATGGCAGAAGATGGCCTCCAAGATATCATCCAGTAGTGCCTTAATGAGCCTGATGAGAAGCTGTGTGATATGGGACAAGCTGTGTGGGAGGGCACAAACAGGTAAAAGTCCACCGAGTTTAATTGGAATATTTGCCCTCTATCCCATGCAGGTCCTTGTGGATGTACCATGCACAAATGACCGTCACTCAGTCGTAGAAGAGGACAACAATATGTTCAATCAAATGAGAAAGGGGGAGCGTCAGATGTTGCCAATGCTCCAGGTGGAGCTGCTTGTGTAAGTGATCCTGACCTTATGTGATACATGTTAACTTTTGAGCTGCACCAGGGTTTCACATTGTGGGCTTTATTAAATCATTCACAGCATTGCAAATGAGTCCGCAAAACTCTACAAAAGTGCTCATCTGCCTGCCATCCTGCCCACATACAAATGTGTAAGGCTCTTGTGGATTAAAAGACAAAGGGTTGCTTTTAACTAAGTTTTACTTGGAGTAGACTCATTGAAATTCATTGCTATTATTGTCTTAGGCCCATTAATTTCAGTGGGTCTGCTCCGAGTAGGTTAATTAAATACAATTCAGAGGATCCAACTTCAGTAATGCTTCCTTGCCTACTCTTCTGGAGGTGATTTTGATTTGATTTGGTGACTAGGAAAATATTTCTTTAAAAACCTGGAGTTCTAGCCAAAGTGGAACCCTTACTTTAATGTAATTATCCAGTAATCTCCTGCTGCTAAGTTAGATTCTCCTAAGTCTATCCCAAAGTATGATGGTTGTTTTCAGCTGGAGCTCTTTTAAGCATTGTTGTGTAATTATTCTGTACGTTGTCTTGTGAAGTTGATGTGCCTTGAAATGTGAATCTGTAAATAAATAAAAAGTTCTTTCTGTTCCTTTCGCAGGGCTGGGATACTTTCTGCCAAGCCAGGGGGAGACGTCGTGTACTCAACGTGCTCCTTGTCTCAGCTCCAGAATGAGTATGTGGTTGAAAGAGCTGTGGAGCTACTAGCAATCCAACATGACATTAGCATCCAGGTTGAAGACTTGAGCTGTTTTCGAAAGTGGTTCCAGAACACATTTTCATTCTATCCTGACTGCAGACTTGGAGAACTCATCCTTCCCCATCTCACAGCTAACTTTGGACCAATGTATTTTTGCAAATTGCACAGATTGAATTAGAAAGGGCATGGCACGGCACGAAAAGTGTCCTGGGATATTTTCAACTTCCCTTTGACACCTGTCTTTTTGAATAAAGACTATGATGCAGCTTGCAATAAAAACCAGCATTTTGCTTAATTGACCCCACACCTGTGTGCTATTAAAAAACCCCCACATTACTCACTGTATGTGGTTGCTACCAAACAAACTCTTCACTCCACAGATGGGTGGAAGTCATGTGTACAAGCCTTTGATGTGTGCAACTACCATTGAATACAACCCATGATTTCTGCCATGTATATTGGCTGCATAGGAATATTTTTTTACATAAGCCCATATGCTGCAAGTGGAATGTAAACCACTAAAGAGATAGAAGAGTATGATCCCAAAAGCACAGAATAAAAATTTGCAAAAATTGTAAAAAAAATTCAGTTTGCATACTTTACACAAACTTCGCAGGAGGAGGAAGACTAGTATGCACCTTGCAGAGTTCCTCTTGCATATTAGACATATGTTGTTGGAGTGTCCATTTTCTAAATGTTCACTAAGCTTTTCTGAGAACTGACTACCTGATCTAGACCCTGTGTTTGGGTGAAGATACAAATACTTTCTTCCTGTCCATAATGACTTAATAGGCTGCTCAACTGCCACTTAAGACCTTTGCAACCAATGGTTACTGCAGGAAAGAAGTCATATACATGATGTGATTGGAATCTTAGACATGGCTGCTTGAAACTGTCATCTGGTGGATGGCATAATATAATTGCACCATCAAATTTATTGCATGTATTTTCAGAGGAAAGTCCTCCAGCCTCCCCGGGAGTTCAGGCTGGTGCTGTTCATACTAGAGAGGCTGGAAGAAGCAGTGCATTGCTGGCAGGCCTGCCCATGTATTTCTCAGCATTGGACTGGACTGGTTTGGACATAATTGAAGCATCGTGTGTGTGTTGGGGGGGGGGGAGGTTCTTAGCCAAGTTTTGTTTCTAAATTTAGCAGCTAAACAGGATAAGATTCCTGTTTTTTAATCCGTCCAGCCATCAGCCTGTTTTGTTATTTAGGGGTCAGTGAGACGTAAGAATTTTTCCTTGAAATAATTTTTCCATTCTTAACTATTATTATTTTGACTTCTGATCAAGGTGAGGGTGGATGTTGGTTGCTAGACAATGGAAGTGTGGCTCAAACCAGGAATACAGTGGTACCTCGGGTTAAGAACTTAATTTGTTCTGGAGGTTCGTTCTTAACTTGAAACTGTTCTTAACCTGAGGAGGTACCACTTTAGCTAATGGGGCCTTGTGCTGCCGCTGCACAATTTCTGTTCTCATCCTGAAGCAAAGTTCTTAACCCAAGGTACTATTTCTGGGTTAGCGGAGTTTGTAACCTGAAGCGTCTGTAACCCAAGGTACCACTGTATAACCTTTTGGTGGACATTTCTTGGTTACAAAGATAAAACAATGGTATATTAAAATGTTAGTTCTAGTACACATTGTGCTTTTACAAACATATTACTTTGAAAGTGTTTATGATGGAATCCAAGACATGTTGAAAACCAGAAAGTGGCAATCAGATGCCGGGGGGGGGGGAATGTAAAGTGGTTAATTAGCATGCTTTCAGCTTTCATGTATTCTTGGTGCATATCTTTTTGGCAGAATTCAGCATGCTACATTTGGAAGTGTAGAGGGGCTGCATTATGTGGATTATACACACAACCCAGTGGTTTCCAATTGGTGGTCTACAGATCCTAGGGGTCCATTGCACCATTCACATAACAAAAGGTACCATAGAAATATATATTTTTTTCTGCTGTTAACAGCAGCAATATTATTGGCCCAAAAATGGAAGCAAGAAGAACTACCAATATTAGAAGAATGGAGGTTGAAATTGATGGACTATGTAGAATTAGACAAACTAACAGGAAGGATCCGAGACCGGCGGGACCAGAGGTTTACCAAGACTGGACTAAATTTACTGAGTATTTGAAAAGTATTTGTGATGATCAGATTACGTTTGTAGGACTACAAGAAGTTCTGTGAGGAGTAACTTAAGAAATATTGTAAAAATGGAAAGGGGGAAATGATTTGTTAGAAAAGGTAAAGGCAATATTAAGTTAAGAATTGCAGGAGAAATAATCAAGACGGAAGGCTATCAGAGATGCTGAAGGAAGTCCAAACAAGGACATATGTATAATAATTTGTGTGGTATGTCTTAATAAATTTTGTATGCTAAAAATAATAAAAAATATTTTTTAAAAAAGAAATATATATTTTTTCAAAGTCCATGGCTTGGCTTTTGAAAAACGGGGTCCACAGTACTTGGCTGATCAGGAACCACTGCTATACACACCTGTGAAGTTCACTTCTCCACTGTACATCGTAGACCATGGGTAGGCAAACTAAGGCCTGGGGGCTGGATCCAGCCCAATGACCTTCTCAATCCGGCCCACAGACGGTCCTGGAATCAGCGTGTTTTTACATGAGTACAATGTGTCCTTTTATTTAAAATGCATCTCTGGGTTATTTGCAGGGCCTGCTGTTTTTACATGAGTAGAATGTGTGCTTTTATTTAAAATGCATCTCTGGATTATTTGTCGGGCATAGGAATTCGTTCACCCCCCCCAAAAAAAATATATATAATCCTGCCCCCCCCCAAATCTGAGGGATAGTGGACCGGCCCCCTGCTGAAAAAGTTTGCCGACCCCTGTCGTAGACCTTACCTCTAGGATGCATAGGACGTCTACATAGCTGGGGAAAGTTAGATGAGCAAAAGACTACGCTCATTCTCATGACCAGGGAAGGAGAAGGGGCCGGGGTTGCTGCACCTTTAATGTAGAAGGAAGAAAATCAGCTTTTGGGGCTTGTCACGCGAGTTACACCGGCTGACATCCCTCCTTCTTCCCAACTATTAAAGGCGCAGGAGCCCCGTCCTCTTTGGCATGTGGCGACCCTCGCTCAGCCACCAGAGCTTCCCATCCTCCGCCGCGTTACGGACCAGAAACTTGTCCCTTTCTAAATCGCAAGTGGGGGTTCTCGGGCAGCAGCACTGTATATCCGGGAAACCCGGATTTTGACGGTGCGGGTGGGAGGAAGGCATGAAAATAGAATGCGTTTCCGGGGCGCCGCGTTTGGAGAAATCCGTGTGGGAGTCCAAGCCCCTGAATCCAGTTTCCGCCCTTTGCGGAGGCCGCGCCTTCCGGAGCTGTCAGCTGGCTGCGGAGGTAGCGGACGAAGCAGTAGCCGCGCGGGACGCTGAAGAGGATGAGCGTCAGTCTCGTCTCTGCTCTCTTGTGCTGCTCGGCGGCGACGGTGCTCCTGCTGAGATGGCGGCGGCGGAGGAAAGTCCAGAGGAAGGTGGAAGAGGCGAAAGAAAGGCGAGAGCGCGCGCTGGAGCGAATGCTAAAAGCTGCCCGAAAGTTCAAAGAGCCGGTAGGTGGCGTCGGGCTGGAAGCGGCTACTCGCGGAGCGCACCTGATTCCTGCCGGGGGGGGGGGGACGGGACAGCTGGAGGCACCGAGCAAGGGTCGTCGGAAAACCCCCGAAGCGCAAAGACCGGCTGGCTTTGTCCCCCTGGAGGGTCACGGGGCAGAGCCAGCTGCAGCCCTAACGTCGAAGGTTCCTCCTGTAACTTTAAGGCTGTGGTGAGAAGCCTCTGTCCTCAGTGTGTGTGTCAATGCACACACCAAGCCTCCTTCTTCCCAGCCGCTCCCTCTTCTGGCCCTATTTCAGCATCTCATTGAGTGTTTGTGTGCGCGATGTTCTCCTTCCTCCGTTGCAAGGTGTCCTTGGACTCTGATATTCAATTACTTTTCCTGGATGGAAGATGGAGAAGGGGTGTGTCTGTGTGTTGCGCGCTGAAACTAGCCTGCTGTATCATGAAAGCAATTTTTACATGCATTGCTCTGCTCACTTTAACTTCTGAATCTGTGCACCACTGGTACGTGGCCCCCAGAAGGGGATGGCGGCCCCAGATTGATTCTGCTTGCCCGTGCTTTAAGGGTTCCTAAAAGGGAGCTGTGCCTTTTCACAGTGCTGTGGCAGAGAGAGAAGCTGCATGGACTCTGTTCTGTGCAACAGCATTTGTGGGCAGAAGTACGTCCCACTAGATTGATCTTGACTCATTACCATGTACTTTGTGGCAACTTCCAGACACAAGCATGTTAAGTGTGAACTTTAGTCTACAAAGGCTTGTGCCTGCAGAAATCTACAGTGGTACCTCGGGTTACATACGCTTCAGGTTACATACGCTTCAGGTTATAGGCTCCGCTAACCCAGAAATAGTGTTTCAGGTTAAGAACTTTGCTTCAGGATGAGAACAGAAATTGTGCTCCGGCGGCGCGGCAGCAGCAGGAGGCCCCATTAGCTAAAGTGGTGCTTCAGGTTAAGAACAGTTTCAGGTTAAGAACAGACCTCTGGAACGAATTAAGTACTTAACCCGAGGTACCACTGTATTTGCCTCTGCTGCCATGGTTTTTTGTGGTGGGAGCGGGTGGGGCTGTGGTCTAAACCACTGAGCCTCTTTGGCTTGCCGATCGGAAGGTTGGCGGTTCAAATCCGCACAATGGGGTGAGCTCCTGTTGCTCTGTCCCAGCTCCTGCCAACCTAGCAGTTCGAAAGCACGCCAGTGCAAGTAGATAAATAGGTACTGCTGTGGCAAGAAGGTAAACAGCGTTTCCGTGCACTCTGGCACTCCTCACGGTGTCCCATTGCACCAGAAGTGGTTTAGTCATGCTGGCCACATGACCTGGAAAGCTGTCTGTGGACAAACGCTGGCTCCCTCGGCTGAAGCAAGATGAGCGCCGCACCCCATAGTAACCTTTGACTGGATTTTACGGTCCAGGGGTCCTTTACCATGGTTTGTGGTATTAAGAACAGCCAAGCACTGAAATGTGGTAGAATGATGGTGAAGAAAGTTTTGCTTGCTAAACTTATGTGAGTAGGGCTGGGCTGGTGACTGAGGTGTCACAATCCAATCAAAGGCTTGGATTTATTCAATTAACAGTTCAAAATAGATTGAGAGAAAGTGACTTGCTCAGTGAGCTTCCTGAGTGAATTGAGATTTGAAATTTAGTCTCCATGGTCCTACTCCAACCATTACACAACGCTGATGATGATGATTTTTTAAGTATGTTGTAGATTTCAAGCTCAAGAAAGCTTAGGTCGAAGAACTGGAAAGTTCCCAGTGTACTTTCAGAGGTACAGCACAATCACATCTTACGTGTGTTAAACATATGGTTGCAAATTCAACCATAAGTGCTCAGCTGTGGGGCGGGGAGAGTGGGGAGGAAGTGTGGGCCACCCCACCCACTGTTCCACTCAACAAGTGGCCTTGGAGTGAGTGTGACTCCCTCGCTAAGCGTGGTTAGGACGGTACAAGGACCCTGAAATGCAAGCCACCTACCTGTCCCAGAGCGCAATGGAAGAAACAGTGAAGAAACAATGTGGCCACAACAAGTCCAGTCTCCATGCAATCAAGATCTGAGAGAGAGAGGAATTCATCAGGCCATGTCATCAAGTGCTCCACTGGCTGTTAATCTTAATGTGATGGAGTGTTGGAAGCACTGGTGGACGAAGGTGGGGGTGGGGGGAGCAGGCTGCCCTGGGTGCCATCGCAACTGCCCCTGCCCCCTGGGATGCTCGGTGCTCGCCACATACGCCCTGGGACGCCCATGGTCGCCGCGCATGCCCTGGGACGCATGCCGCTCAATGTGCAGCCCCCCCCGATGCATGCCACACCCCCACGGGTGGCGAGCCACGCCCCTGGGATGTGCACCACACCCCCTGGGACACGCACCACGGCCCCTGGGACGCACACCAGCCACGCCCCCGGATGTATGCCATTCCCAGTGCTGGAGCAGGTAGCTCCACCACTGGTTGGAAGGCCTTTAACACTGTCAGTTGTACCACTTCTATTATCCAAGCAATGGATGCAGTCAAGCCTGAATCAGTCTTGCAAAGGAGGCTGCTCCCATGTTACCAGCCAATGAGTAATTGTGTCTGAGAATTGCTGAAGGCAGGTTTTTTGATCAGTATCTTCAGATCCAGTCAAGTACTCTTTCCAGAGGATTGCGTTAGGTTGTGCAACAAAAATAGTTTTAGCAGCATCCCTCCTCTTGCTCTGTTGA